TATTTGTAATTTATCCCAATTTTAAAACTAATGTATTAATGATTGTATTTGTATTGGTATTAGTGTGATGATGGTAGTGATAGTAATAATGGCAGCATTAGTAAGCATTTACTTGGAAAAATATTTTCTACCTTTCAAAATTAAAATAAAATAAAATAATTGCCCAAATAAGTTTGCTTTCCATTGATCAAAAGGAAACGTTTTTTGGTACGTTTTTTAGAAAATGCGAAAATAACTTGTTGGAAAATATTTTCTACCAAAACAAACTAAACGCTAATTTCTAATTGCTTAAACCCCAAGAGAACAACAATCAAGAATACCCAAATTACTAAACAATTAGGAAGAAATATTGAGCAAAATAGAAAATGCGAAGAAAGAAGTAGAAGACAAACAAGAATATACTTTTCCTTGTTATGGAACTCCTACTAAACTAATAGGGGTGAAACACTCCTTCCTTTGCATGCCTAAATGTCTCTTTTTAAGAATTTGCCAACTTGTATCAATGCTCAAACAAGACAACCTTTATTAGGGAATTTATGCACCAACTTTAGTAGCCAGATCACATGGTCCAGTTGTTACTTTATAGTTGGAATTTATTCTTTATTTTATATTACAACTTAATTTTATGCAAGCTTTTTTTAATGCAAATTGCATATTTATTTATTTATTTAAAAATGCTACACAAACTCACATTTTTACCAATCAAACACAAATAAGTGAGTCTTACCTGTATTTATATATAGATTCCACTTCCTTGAATCTAGTAAGTAAGAAGATGATATACGAAATTTGAGTATTTATATTATTACTCTTCGTTTTTATCATATCAAAAATGATCTCAAGCATGTATGGTCTGATCAAATGCATGTGTGAAATCTATAAACAACTCTTAACAGCATGCTGAATCAATATAAATGTACTCTTCTACCAAAACATACTTCAATTCAATATCTTTAACAATTAAAAAATGCATGGCACATTGAGATAATCAAAATACAACAATAATGGACTTTCAAAGCTAAAGAAAAATAATAACCACATCTTACATGGAACAATGAACAATTTTTTGTGAACTATAACCTCATGTGTCTAATGAGAAAGTCAATTTAGCTTACTTTACGAACAATAAAACTTTATAACTGGGGTTTCACTTAAAATCAGTAAATTCAATCTTCTCCCTAAATTATGCTTAATCACAGGTACTTGATGTCAACTCTACCATACTCTAGCACTGCCACTCAGATTTGAATCAAGTTGTTCCAAACACAACTTGATGCAACTCTCTCTTTCTCTCTCTCTCCCTCTCTGTCTGTCTCTCTCTGTGATTATCAAAACTGTCAATTGCCATTTTAGACTTTGTATTGACTCCAAGATGTACACTAAAAGATAAAATTGAAAAGAAATAACTAACTTTATGAAGATAAAATGAAACACTTTAAAAAAAATGCATCAACAAAAAGAAAAATATCCAACAATGCTACTCAATTCCATGACATGATTGGGTGTTAGTGATCATTTTCTATGCCTGACATTGAAAGCAAACTTAAATATGTTTTTCAGAATATGATACCTCACTGCACTATATCAAGTCACTTGTGCAAACCTCTACAATTTCATGAAGTTATTTAACTTTTCTAGTGCTGCCCGTAAAGCATGAAGAAGAAGCCAGATATAGTAAAAGGTCTATTCTCGAGTGTCAATTATGTGATTGAGTAGGCCTCTTACTTGCTGGGAATTCTTCCAGAAGAAAGGCATTATGATTCTAGCATTCATCATTCCTTAAAAATGCCTCAACAAGGATCACCCAATGCACTTCTCAACTCACGCTTGAGCTCTATGATCAATTTTATAACAAAATGTGAAATGTAGTGTGTCATGTGTACCGTATTAAAGGAAAATGGTCAAGAATTCCAAAAGAAAGTCAGCCAAAAAAGACATTGACTAACATGTAGATGCATTTTGCCCCAGATCACCACCATTAAGGAACTGATTGCCAAAACTTTGCTTAAGAGTTAAGAACATGATAAACAAAGACAATATGTAAAATCACCAGCTAGCAGTATGTGACACTAATACAGGTTTTATTTTATTTTTTAAAAAAAAGGTAAAAAATCCTCAAGACGGTTTTTCATCCCCCAAAATTTCAAAATAAACTACCCTTAATCCTCAGAACTAAATTAACTAACTACATAAAATGATAAGACTCTCTCTGCAGCAGTCCCATAAGACTCTCTCTGCACCAGATGGCTCTGCAGCAAGCTCAAGAACTCAAGCTAGTTAGTTAAGCAGTTAGTCTGTTGAACCCAGGTTAGTTAGTAATTAGAGTTTGTTAACTCAAAGTTAGTTAGAGTTTGTTATAGTTTGTTAGACGTTTGTTACATGGTATCTGTATAAATATACAATGTATCTGATCATAAATAAATAATAAAAGATTCAATTGTTCTTCATGGTATCAGAGCATCCATAGAGCTCCTACGAGCATAGTTTCAACCCATATATCCATATATGGCTGCTTCATCATCTTCTTCATCTTCTTCTTCTTTACCTGCAAATCTTAATCTCTTGATTTCCAATCTGAATTCTTTTATCACTGTTAAATAATAATAAAAGATTCAATTGTTCTTCATGGTATCAGAGCATTCATAGAGTTCCTACCAGCATAGTTTCAATCCATATATCCATATATGGCTGCTTCATCATCTTCTTCATTTTCTTCTGCTTTACCTGCAAATCTTAGTCTCTTGATTTCCAATCTGAATTCTTTTATCACTGTTAAACTCGATTCTACCAATTTTCTTATATGGCGAAGTCAATTTCAGAATGTTCTATGAGCTACAGATCTGTTAGACTTTGCAATTGGATCAGTTCCATGTCCTCCATTGATGATCACCGACTCTAACGGTGTTGAAGTTTTGAATCCAGATCGAGTCATTTGGAACAAGACTGATGCTCACCTGCTCAGTTGTATAACTGCTACTCTTACACCTATAATTTTTTCCTCTGTTCTTCATCTGCAACACAGTTTCGAGGTCTAGACTGCTCTTTGCAACCGGTTCACCATGGTGTCTCGTTCTTACATCCATCAAATCAAGAATCAATTGACTCAGTTAACCAAAGGCTCCAAATCAATTGAAAAATATTTGCTTCAAATCAAAGAACTTGCTGATAAATTAGCTCTTGCTTTATCACCTATAGATGATGAAGATTTGGTACTGATCACTCTGAATGGCTTGCCGGATGAGTTTGATGCTCTTAAAACTGCTGTCCGTGCTCGAATTGAGCCTATTTCCATGATGGACTTATCTTCTCTTTTGTGTTTTGAGTCTCTTCATATAGACTTCAAACAGAAAAAATTGCAATCTCATGAAAACACAGTTGCCTATGTGTCCACCAGTGGATCTTTTTCTTCAAGAGGAGGACGATCTTATTTTCGAAATTAGAGAGGAGGCTATCGAGGCTCTTTTTGTGGTACTGGCTGACACGTTTCTCGAGGTAGAGGTCGATTCTATTCATTTGCTAAACTTTGTCAAATCTGTGGCAAAGGTAATCATACGGCTATTGATTGTTGGCACAGACTGGATATGAACTTTCATCAGACTGATATGAACTTTCATCAGACTGTTCCTCCACATGCTTCTGCTCCGACTTCTTCATCACAGTCTGTTTCTGAAGTTTATCCTTCACCAAGAGCCTATGTTACTTCTCTATCTGAGACTGCTCCCTGGTACCTTGATTCGGCTGCTTTTGATCACATTACTAACGATCTCTCCAATCTCAACATATCACAAGCCTATACTGGTTCTGATCAGATTGTGGTTGGAAATGGCACTTCTATTCCTATTCATCACACAGGTAAAGGACTCCTTCCTACTCCTCATTTTTCTTTCAAACTAAATAAACTTCTTCATGCTCCCATCTCTTCCAATCTTCTCTCTGTTCATCAACTCACCAAAGATAATAACTGCACTATTACTTTTGAGCTCCTTTATCATGTCTTACCTGATTATTCTTTTTTGAAGGTCTTTGGCTGCCAATGCTTTCCTTGGTTAAGACCTTACACTCATTCTAAGTTGCAGCCTCGATCCTCTTTATGTGTTTTTCTTGGCTATCACTCATCCTATAAAGGCTATCGTTGTATGGACATGACCACAGGTCAAGTCTATATTACTCGACATGTTGAATTTCATGAAAATGTTTTTCCTTTTTCTACCTATTCATCTACTCCTACTCCATCTTTATCTCATCTTCATTCTTTCTTTTGGCCTACATCTACTCCTGCTCCACCTTCCTCCCAATCTGCTGTTGCTACTCTTCCGCCTTGTTCACCAGCAGCCCCTTTGCCTTCTTCCTCTGGAGCTCCTCCTTTCTGTTCTTCTCACAGACCTCTTGCTGTTCCTTCCTCAGTTCCTCGACCATGTTCCTCACCAGCCCCTCTGCCTGCATCCTCTCCAGCTCATCTGGTTTATTCTCCTCCCAGCACTGCTGCTGTTATTTCTCCAGTTTCTCAGCCCTATTCTGCTGTCCAACTTTCTGCTCCACCTTTATCTGAGCCTTCCTCACACCCTATTGCATCTTCTCACCCTATTCCAATTGATTCTCTTTTTATTCATTTACCTTCTTTACCTTCTTCTACTAATTCTCATCCCATGCTTACTAGATCTAAAACTAAGGGTCTTGTCGCTTGTACTACTCCTTCCTTTTCAGATATTGAACCTTCTTCTGATCACCAAGCTCTTGCTTCCCCTCTGTGGCATTCAGCTATGCTTGAAGAATATAATGCCTTACTTGCTCAAGGTACTTGGTCTCTTGTTCCTCTTCCCTCTACTAAGAAGGCTATTGGTTGTAAGTGGGTTTTTCGAATCAAACGCAGTAGTGATGGTTCTATTGCCTGATATAAAGCTCGGTTGGTTGCTAAGGGATTTTTACAGCAAGAGGGCCTTGATTATACTGAAACTTTTAGCCCTGTGGCTAAACATCCCACTATCCGGGTTTTGCTTTGTATGGCTTTACATTATCATTGGCCATTAAAGCAACTTGACATCAGCAATGCATTTCTTCATGGCACTTTGGATGAGGAAGTATATATGACTCAACCACCAGGTTTTGTTAGCTCTTCCTCTCCTCATCATGTATGCAAGCTTCAGAAAGCTCTTTATGGCCTCAAACAGGCTCCTCGCGCTTGGTATTCTACTTTCTCCAAGTTCTTATTATCTCACGGGTTTGTCAATAGTCATTGTGATAACTCTCTCTTTGTTCACAGGACTTCCACTACCATAACAGTTCTTCTGGTGTACGTCGACGACATTTTACTTACTGGTAATAGTCCCTCTCATCTTCAAGCTCTCATTCACCAGATGCAGTCTGTTTTTGCCATGAAAGAATTGGGTGATCTTTCTTATTTCTTGGGTATTTCTATTCAAGCAGTGGGTGACTCTTATTTTCTGTCTCAATCTAAATATGCCTCTGACATTCTTCTTAAAGCTGGTATGACCTCTTGTAAACCATGCCCTACTCCTATGTCAATAAAACTTGTTGATACTCCTGCTGCTAATCTTCCTTTTCATCAGCCTCAGTTATACAGAAGTTTGGTAGGTGCTTTACAGTATCTAACTCTCACTCGTCCAGATCTGTCTTTCGCTGTCAATCAAGCTTGTCAATACATGCATGCACCTACTAATGCTCACTTTACTCTGCTTAAATGCATTCTTCGGTTTGTTCAGAGTTCCCTTTCTCATGGCTTGACTTTTCATCCTAGTTCGTTTGAGCTTCAGGCCTTTTCTGATTCAAATTGGGCTAGTGACACTGTTGATCGCAAATCTACCTCTGGCTACTGTGTTTTCCTTGGTTCTAACATCATCTCTTGGTCTGCTAAAAAGCAGCCTACTGTGTCCCGATCCAGCACCGAAGCAGAGTATCGTTCTTTTGCTCATGCTACGGCTGAACTTAGTTGGTTACAAATGCTTCTTCATGATCTTTCTCTCCCTCTTGTAACCACTCCCATTCTTTGGTGTGACAACTTATCTGCCATTGCCTTAGCCTCCAATCCTGTGTTTCACACAAGGTCCAAACATATCGAAGTTGATTGTCACTTTATTCGTGACAAAATTGCTTCCAAGAAGCTTCTTCTTTACTACCTACCCTCTGCTGAGCAAATTGCAGATATCTTCACCAAACCACTGTCTGTTGCTCAGTTTCAGTACCTTCAGTTCAAGCTGCTGGTCACTTCTCCTCCCATCCGCTTGCAGGGGGATGATAAGACTCTCTCTGCAGCAGTCTCTCTGCACCAGATGGCTCTGCAGCAAGCTCAAGAACTCAAGCTAGTTAGTTAAGCAGTTAGTTTGTTGAACCCAGGTTAGTTAGTAATTAGAGTTTGTTAACTCAAAGTTAGTTAGAGTTTGTTAGAAGTTTGTTACATGGTATCTGTATAAATATACAATGTATCTGATCATAAATAAATAATAAAAGATTCAATTGTTCTTCATAAAACAAGAGCTCTGATCAGATTAATTTTTTTTTTTTTTTTTTTTTTGTAATCGGATGTCCAGGCCAGCTTACGTGCACCTCAACTAATCCCAGAGAACCAATCCCATTACTGCTAACCTACTTCCAGGAGTCCCATTTAAAGCCAGGGCAAATGCTCTGTATGGCTCCAAGGAGCTTATTGCTACTAGTGGATATTGAACCTAAGACCTAAAGGGAGCACACCCTATAAGTTTTGCCCACTAGGCCTACCGCTTGAGGTTTATGATCAAATTAAATATGAAGTATAAGCTTCGCTCAATCTCAAAGATAAGAAGCCCTCAATCAGTAATTGCTTCCATAAGCAGGTTATGTTTTGAGCTCAGATCTCGGTTTGGCATTGGCTAAATAAACCAAAAAGCAAAAGCTAGTTTGTATTCAGCTAAAAAATCTAAAAAGGCCAACTTTCCCACTAACAAAAAAGCAACTTTGTTAGCAATTACCAAACGCATCAGTGTTTTTAGATTCTAAAAAAACAATTGCAAATCCCACCAACTCTTGCTTAAGTTACATGCCTAAACAATACACAACTTCCTATACAGCTTCTTGCAAGAGCATTCCCAACACTGTATTCCAATTTATATCATCAAGCTAGCCACAAGGCTTCGCAACACAGCTCTCAAGTGAGGTTCAATGTCAAAGAAAAAGTAATTAGATATGCAATAATCTATCACAATTCCATAGATTTACCTAGTGAATGCATGATCAAGGTCAACACTGGAACTCTCATCATTACCAAACAGTAGGAGTGCATATAAATAATAGTTAAGGATGCCCCATTGGCAGATTTCAATTGAACCATATATCAGTACAATTCTTGGAGGGATATCAATAATTATGTCAATTACCTCGTGTAACATGCCCCATTGGTACACCACGTTACCAAACCAAGTTGCAACTGAACCACATCAGTGCAATATCTAGGAGGCATGATCAGACATGTCAATAATTACATCAATTAACTTGTGTAACATGCCTACCCCACTGATAATGAGTTTGGAAGAGTAAGTACACAAGTCAATGAGGCCAAAACAAGAATGCTTCTTAACCACATATCAAAATTTTGTTTTATACTGAAACTTAGAAATTAAAATTTGTGCCTACATCATTTAAATCACAAATAAATAAATACCTCGGGTCAGAACAAATTTTTCATTCCATCACTACAGTGACATTGCAGGGTTATTCTCCAATTTTTAAACATGGCCGTGAAGCAGTAATTCAAGAGATAATCCTTTTGGCCTCCTTTGTAACATGACCTCCTTTAAACCATTTTCAACTAGATAGGGCTGACCTAATTAGTAAACCGACCTGCCAAACAACAAAAGTAACATGAATGTCAGTGTTCCACATTAGTAATATATGCCTGTTTTCAGTAATTCAAGCTATAGAATAGATCAACAGAATAAAATAGATAAGCTTGTTGATAAAAACAATAATACGTATCATCATTACAACCATTGCATGTCCTTCCAGCTACAGTGGCTGCTAATGGACTCATTTAAAAGCATGTATGCCAGTGGCATTCTAAATTGTTCTATGTATTGTATATATGAGAAAAAAGTTACACCTCAGCCTGCAAGCTTACCCAAAGGCCATGAACCTAAGTAGCACAGACACAACAATGCAAATAGACCGACAAGACGATTTTCTATATATGCAAAATACGATACGCTTGGGACACGTTAATTTTTTATATTTTTATAAATTTTATCATATGTCTAGTATATAAATAGTTTATTCAAAGGTTAAAAATAAAAAATAAATAAAAATAGAAAAACAACAACAACAACATAACACTAAATTAAAAAGTCATATATCCTTCAAGAAATTATTCACGTAACACAATTTTATTCTAAAGAATGCAAAACAATTGTAGAATATTGAAATAAACATGATGTATTAATCTTATAAATGTTTCAAAATATATTTTGAGTACACAAGTTGCATTTCGAAGGATACAGAATATTGTTACTATGAAGCATAGTTGTCAAATCGGGATTCGAATCGTGAATCGAAATGGCCTCGTACCGAATCGCAAATCGAATCGAATCGTGAATCGTAAAGATTCAAGTTGCTTCTTCAGTATATTCCTACCATTGATCAGCTGGCTGACATCTTCACTAAGCCCCTTTCTGTTTCTCGTTTTTTGTATCTTAAAGCCAAAGAAATTATTCACGTAACACAATTTTATTCTAAAGAATGCAAAACAATTGTAGAATATTGAAATAAACATGATGTATTAATCTTATAAATGTTTCAAAATATATTTTGAGTACACAAGTTGCATTTCGAAGGATACAGAATATTGTTACTATGAAGCATAGTTGTCAAATCGGGATTCGAATCGTGAATCGAAATGGCCTCGTACCGAATCACAAATCGAATCGAATCGTGAATCGTAAAGATTCAGTCACTTTTTCTAAATTACTTAGAAAAATATATCTACACCCTTGGATTAAAATATATTTTATGAATGTGAAATATTTAGATTTAAATCAATGAAAATATTGTTTTGAATGACAACCACATAGTTTAATAGGTAAGACGTTAACAAAGGTTCCTATGTAAGATCATCATTTAACCTTTTTCTTTTTTAGATATTTTTTATTAACCATTCTTAATAAAGATAGAAAGTAAAGAGAAACTCTCAATTTCCAAATTAACAATAGTTTAACAACAATATTGATATTTAGACAATAAGCATAAATATTTTTCCAAGTAACAATGACCAAAGAATAGAATTATTTAGGATCATTTATTTTAAAACCTAAAACATTTTAAAAGGTATAATTGTTGAGGATCCTAAAGATCAAGACAGCTCAAAGAGGTCATGAAGCTAGCTAAGGTCTCATTGCATCATTCCTGTGCTGCAGCTATATCTGATCATGTGCTTCAGTTAGTTAGATAGTTTGTTAGGTGGTTAGTTAGTTACGAGTTAGTTATCTTCTTCTTGTATATATAGAGAAAGGGCTACTGGAATTTGTATTGACTAAAACAAATAGATTCAGTTGAATAATAAATCAAGAAATACTGGTTCTGTGTTTTTCTTCATGGTATCAGAGCATTGATGCTCTCACGGGCACTTGATCCATGGCAACTTCATCTTCCCTATCTTCATCTGTTTTATCTTCTTCACTGCCTTCAAACTTAACTCTGCTGATATCCAATCTTTCTTCATTTGTTACTGTAAAGCTCGATGGATCAAACTTTGTCATTTGGAAAAATCAATTGTCCAACATTCTCAGAGCTACTAATCTTCTAGGTTTTGTTGATGGTTCAACACCGTGTCCTTCTCTTACAATTACAGATTCATCAGGAAATGAAGTGTCTAATCCAGAGCATCTTCAATGGCGTATGATAGGTGCTCATCTATTGAGCTGTATCACTGCTACACTTACACCACCAATCTACTCAACTGTGCTTCAGTATCAGAATTGCTCTGAGATCTGGTCTTCTCTGAACAAGAGATTTACATCTCTGTCTCGGTCTCATATCCATCAATTGAAGAACAAGTTGAATCTTGTTTCCAAGAAATCAGATACAATGGATGAGTATCTCTCAAAAATTAAGGCCTTAGTCAGTCAACTCGCACTTGCTTCAGTCATCATTGAAGATGAAGATTTGGTGTTAATTACCTTGAATGGTTTGCCATCTGACTATGATGCATTTACCACAGCCATTCGTGCTCGATCTGACACTATAACTATGGATGATCTATCATCTCTGCTATGTTCTGAGGCGATTCATTTGGAAGCCAAACACAAAATTGCAGAACCAACTGTCGCATTCTCTTCATTTAAAGGTTCTGAAGGTTCTGGATCTGTTAATTCTATTTCACAAGCACCTCCTTTCCCTTCGTCTAGAGGCAAATCATTCTATAGAGGCAGAGGCCGAGGAGGTCGAACTTTAGGATCATATAGAGGTAGAGGTAATAACCGAGGCAGAGGGCGCAATTTCCATCATGTCTCTTCTACTTCATGTTGTCAAATTTGTGGCGGACTGAGTCACTCTGCACTTGATTGCTGGCATCGCATGGATCCTCAATATCAGTCTTCTCCATCTTCTCAATTTTCTTCACCTCAGCAACCTAGAGCACATCTTACATCTTCTTTACCTGGTTCTAGTGTTTCTTCAAATTTTCAGTCTAGTCCTTGGTACTTAGACTCTGCTGCCACTGATCATATTACCAATGATCTGAATCATCTCAGTAACTATCAGCCTTATCCAGGTTCAGATCACATTACCATAGGAGATGGGACCTCTATTCCCATTCAGAACATTGGTAAAGGTCTCCTTCCTACACCTCATTATTCTTTCAAACTCAATAATGTTCTTCATGCTAATTCTATGTCTTCTAATCTTGTTTCTGTTCAAAAGTTGGCTAAGGATAATAATTGCATTATTAGTTTTGATGACGCCAATTTTATGATTCAGGACAAAGTTACGAAGAGAATTCTTCATCAAGGATCTAACCTCAATGGATTATACCATTTTCTTCCATCAGTCACTAGCACATCTACTTCTGCTGCCTTTGCTGCTCCAAACACAGCATCACTCCCATCTGCTACTACCAATGTACCAGATTCTGTGGTCAATAAGTCATTGCCTACTTCTAGTGTTGTATGGCATAATAGATTAGGTCATCCTAGTAGTTTGAAATTTCAGCATCTAGTTCCTCATTTACAGCTTACTTCAAATAAATCTGTTAAGTCACTTGATTGTATTGACTACTGTGTTGCTAAAAGTCATCGTTTACCTTTTCAATTGTCTAATTCTTCTATAAATACACCTCTTGCATTGATCCATA